ACAGGACATTGAAAAAAGAAAAATAGAGAAAGATATAAAAAAGTGGATGCATATACCTTGTTCATGGATTAGAAGAATTAACATCATTAAAATGTCCATACTACCCAAAGCAATCTATAGATTCAATGAAATCCCCATTAAAATACCAATGACATAGTTCACAGAACTAGAACAAATACTCCAAAAATGTATATGGAACCAAAAAAAAAAAAAACAACAAATAGCCACAGAAATCTTGAAAAAGAAGGATAAAGTAGGTAGGATCACAATACCAAATATCAGGTTATACTACAAAGCCAATGTAATCAAAACTAGCACAAGAACAGGCATATAGATCAATGGAACAGAACAGTGAACCCAGAAACTGACCCAAGACATTATGCTCAATTAATATTTGACAAAGGTGGCAAGAGCATACAATGGAATAAAGACAGTTTCTTTAATAAATGGTGTTGGGAAAATTGGACATCTATGTGCAAAAAAAATGAAACTAGACCACCAACTTACACCATACACAAGAATAAACTCAAAATGAATAAAAGACTTAAATGTGGCCCTGGCCAGTTTGGCTCAGCGGTTAGAGCGTCGGCCTGCGGTCCGGAGAGACTCGGGTTCGGTTCCCGCTAAGGGCACGTACTTCGGTTGCAGTTTGTCCCCGGCCCTGGTTGGTCGTGCGGTGGCAGCCACTCGATGTGTCCCTTCACGTCGATGTTTCTCTCTCTCTCTCTCTCCCTTCCTCTCTCTCCCTCCCACTCTATCTGTACAAAAAGTGGAAAAATATCCTCGGGTGAGGATAAAAAAAAAAATAAAATAAATGTGAATCCATAAAAATCCTAGAAGAAAATGTAGGCAGCAAAATCTCAGACATCACATACAGCAGAATTTTCACTGATACAATGCCTGGGACAAGAGAAATAAAGAAAAAAAATAATGCATGGGACTACATCAAACTAAAAAGCTTTTGCACAGCTAAAGAAACAAGCATCAACATGGAAAGGGAATCCACTGTATGGGAGAACATAATTGCCAATACATCAGATAAGGGGTTAATTTCCAACATATATAGAGTAGAGTAATCATACAACTCAACAAAAGGAAGACAAAGAATCCAATTAAAAAATGGGCCGAGAACCTAAATAGACACCTCTCCAAACAAGACATACAAATGGCCAAGAGATATATGAAAAAATGCTTGACGTCACTAATCATCAGAGAGATGCAAATTAAAATGACTATGAGGTAGCACCTCACACCTGTCAGAATGGTTGCCATTAACAAATCACCAAACAACAAGTGCTAGCGAGAGTGTGGAGGAGAGGGGACTCTCATACACTGTGGGGATGGGGGAGGGGGGGGTTGGTAGATGGACGATTTGTAACCTTGTGATATGCATTCTTGAAACCTGGCCAGCCTAGGATCAAAGTGTGTGTGTGTGGACAGATAGGTTTGACTGGAGGGCAGGAAAACCACCTTGGGTACATATGAACACTTTGTTTGCATGTGAATAAGATAAGGTTTGCATGACAAAGAATTGGAAGACCATTCAGCTAGGATAATGGGCCATAGGCCCAGGCATGGCTGGGTTTGTTATCTTTTAGCTTTAAAGTCTTTTTCTGTCGTAAAAAGCAAGAGACAAGGCTAGGCTGTATGGTTTGCAGAGACTCTATCTCAAGGAAATAACTTACATAAATCCACTTGTAACCTGGGGGAACCAATCTCCAAATAAATGGGACTGAATCCAAAGAAAGATCTGGAGCATTTGCTCTCTTGCAAAGCTCCCTCTCACTCCAACCAGCGTGTGCTTATAGTTCATTGTGTTGCACCAATCCCAGCAGGCCGAGAGACAGCAGTACACTGCTGGTGGGAATGCAGACTGGAGCAGCCACTGTGGAAAACAGTATGGTGTTTCCTCAAAATATTAAAAATTGAATTGCCATTTGACCCAGTGATCCTACTTCTATGAATATACCCTAAGACGCCTGAAACACTAAACAGAAAGAATATATGCACCCCTATATACAATGGCTAAGATCTGGAAACATCCGAGTGTCCATCAACAAATGAGTGCATAAAAAAACTGTGGTACATATACACAATGGAATACTATGCAACTGTAAGAAAGAAAGATCTCTTATCCTTTGAGATAACATGGAGGGACCTGGAGAGCATTATACTAAGTGAAATAAGCCAGTCAGAGAAAAACAAGTATCACATGATCTCATGTATTTGTGGAATATAATGAACAAAATAAGCTGATAAACAAAAAAGACCCAGAGACACAGAAGTAGGATTCAGACTGACAAAGGTCAGAGGAGGGGGGTAGGGGAAAGGGAAGAGATAAACCAAAGAACTTATGCATATAAGCATAACCAATGGACACAGACAACAATGCTGGGGCGGGGAGACAGGACGCCACTAGGAGGAGGGGGTCAATGGGGAAAAAAAGAAACATCTGTAACAAAAATTAATTTAAAAAATAACTTTGAGAAAAGTGTTCTGTATCTTGATTTTAATATTTTTAATATTAAAAGGTTGATTTTAATATTATCTTTAAATTCTAGTGTGAGAAATATTTACTTTTCCCAATAGACATGAAGAATTTGTTTTATTTAGTTTATCAGAAATAGCATCATTTTATCAATCAATTTTAAAACTATATCATGTTTAATCTCAGAACTGAACATAATTAGAATGGCTAAATGAGAAATATTATTGTGCTCATTAACTGCAAAAATGTATACTTCTCTGGCTCTTCAAACAATACACTCCATGTCATCAGATACATCAGGTATTTTTGAGACTGTTTTTTTGGGGAAAAGCTACCAAATGTTAGTTTTCCCATGCAGAACATTCATTATTATGTAATTACAGAGACTTTTGCAGCATTTGTTTTTAAAACTTACTAGATGCTTTTAGAGTAAATATTTAAAAATTAAAATATGAAATGTTTTAAATTCTTAGACTTGTACTTTTTAAGTGGTTTTTCCATTTTTCTGCCTTGTTTCTAATTGAAGAGATATGAAATTTCAAGCTGTTTCCTAAAATAGTACACAGGAAAACAAAGGTTAAGGATTTTACAGGATTTTCAACAGGTGAATTGATGTTACCCTACTTTGCATAATTATTCTCATTATTTTGTTCCTCATTTAGTTGATGTAGTTAGGCATACGTATTCTTTAAGCTTTTTGTCTTCTGCCAATTGATTATGGGAATTAATCAAATTATATATGACTAATAACATATATATATATATATTTTATCCTCACCCGAGGATATTTTTCCATTTTGTTTTTTGTACAGATAGAGTGGGAGGGAGAGAGAGGAAGGGAGAGAGAGAGAGAAACATCGACGTGAAGGGACACATCGAGTGGCTGCCACCGGCACGACCAACCAGGGCCGGGGACAAACTGCAACCGAGGTACATGCCCTTAGCGGGAACCGAACCCGGGTCTCTCCGGACCGCAGGCCGACGCTCTAACCACTGAGCCAAACTGGCCAGGGCTAACGTATATTTTTTAAACAGTATCATGAAAGGTAAAGGTGTGAGGTTGTGGTAGGTAAACCGAAGGCAGTTCTTCCATCCTGGGACTTCCCCTCACATTGTCCTGGTCCTATTGTCTTTCTCTTTGTTGACTTACTCCCCTGTTTGTAGGAGCCCAGCCTCTAGTACTTATTTTTTCAGGTGAATAGATGGAAAAGTAAATTATTCTCCTTGCATGTGTGAGAAGGTTTTTATTCTGCTCTTGCACTTGATGGCAAGTTTGACCACCAACAGAATTAGAGGTTCGAGTTCCGGCCCCTCGGAAACGTAGACGTGTCACCCGGTGTGCTTCAGCCTGTCGCCCCTGCCGAGAGCCCGCTGCACTGGAACCCCAGCCCAAACCCAGAAGCCTCGCTTTCCGGCGTCCTGGGCTTCCTCGGAGTCTTCGCGCGGGTCCTGAAGTGCAGAACCCGGGGCTTCGTTCGGGCCACGCAGCGCTTCGACTCTGTCTGCGTCATTCTTCCCCTCTGGTTTTCTGCTCTCTTCTGGAAGTCTTAGTTTGTTGCACGAGCGCGTGGCCGCACGCGTGAGAGCGTGGCCGGCTGCGAGGGCTGAGCGAGCGGAGGGGGCGGGGCCGGCCCAGCACGACTCCCGGGGTGGAGCTCAGGTGCACAGCCGCCGCCGCGCCCGGCACCGACACGCAGACTCACCGGGCAGGGGTCGCCCCGCCGTGCGTCGCTGAGCGCGGTGACCCGGCCTGTCAGGGCCGCAGGCCGCGGGCTCTGGCGCCTGTCCGAGGCGCGGTCTCCCGCCCGACTCGTCTCCTGCGCCCGCGGCCTTACCTGGGCTCGCGCCTCCTCAGGTGCGAGGTCGCGACAGTGCGGGAGCCGCCCTCGCGTGCTCGTCAGGAGCGAAGCTGAGGGGACAGCGCCCGGCACCCAGTGGGCCGAGGAGCTGACGGTGGCTGACAGCACGTCCTCAAACCCGGGCCAGGGGACCGAACAGGCGCGGGCTCCCGCACCGCCCGCAGCGGTCGAGGGGTCAGCCGCCTCCCGCCATCGCGCCTCGGGGTAGAAGCGCACTGGGGAGAGCCAGAGGGCGGGGCCAGGGAGCGGCCGCCCCCGTGGGGGCGGGTCGGGGGCGGGGCCAGGGAGCAGTCGGCGGGCGGGGCGGAGCGGTGCTAGGGCGGAGCCAGGAGACCTGAGGCAGTCGTGGGAGGGGGTCAAAGGGCGGGGCGGGGCGGGGCGGGGCGGGGACGGAGTTAGAGGAGGGGCCGGCGCGTGTGGGCGGGGCTCGGGCGGGGAGGGTTTGGAGGTTTCTCACCGTCGCGGTAGCCGAGCAGCCAGTCTCCATTTAGACCGCAGTCTGCTGGGCTCCGGGAAAGCGGCGGCCGGCGTGCCCCGCGGGCATGGGCGGCCTGGCCACCTAGCACCCGCCGGCACAGGAGGTCCTGCTGGCAGCAGGCTGTCCCGCTGGCAGCGGGGGTCCGACCGGCCGCAGGGACGGTGCGGGAGCCGGGAGCGGGCTGCGGGGAGCGTCACCGCCTCCTGGAACCATGAGCGCCGAGCCCATCTGCAGCGCGCTGCCTGCCGTGCCCTCCAGCAAACTCACCGACCTGTGCTTCCTCAGCCGCGGCGCGTCGGGCACCGTGTCGTCCGCGCGCCACGCTGACTGGCGCGTGCAGGTGGCCGTAAAGCACCTGCACATCCACACGCCGCTGCTCGACAGGTAGGCGCCCCGCCGTCCGGCCCCCACTTGACCGCGGCCGCCTGGGTGTCTGGCTCCGCGCGTCCTGTCCCCACGTTGCCCCCGCAGCGGGCGTGTTCCTGGGTCCCCTCTTCGCGCTCCCGGTCGCGCTGCCCACGGCGGCGTTGAGCAGCGAGGGTGGCCCGCCCAGCGCTCAGCACCGAGCGTCGTGGGTGTCCCGGGTTCTGGGACGTCTGGGCTGGGGCTCCTTGTGCTCTGTTTGTGGCTGATCTCGTGGTCATGGCTAGACAGCAACCTCGATTCTCACCGGAGAACCTGTCCCAGAGGAAGTACATGCCCTCTGCCAACAGTGATGCGAATCAGAACTCCCAGATGCCCGCGAACTTGAAACGCGCAGCTTCGTGCGCAGGTTTTGGGAGAGGGCGAGCACTAGTTTCAGTTTCCCGAAAGCACTGCGACCGCGTACGGCCGGCCGTGACCCTGATTGCTCAGGGATCCCGTCGCTCATCCTGTCCCTTCTCCTGAGCTCACGTCCCTGTCGGGGTGGCCCGTGTCAGATCCGTTCCTCAGCTGCAGCCCTGTGCGTTTCTGGCTGCCCTGGTATCAGGCCCGCATGGCTCAGATCTAAGAATACAGGCGACATCCCTAAGGCGGTTCTCACCTGTGTACACGCTAATCCCGGCCTTGTCAACATAGGGTGTGGCCTGTTTACCTTGGGCCTTGAATTTTGTGCAGCAAGTGCAGGGCACGTGTGTGGATGTGGATGTGGCGACCTGCAACGGTGCTGGTGGAGAAGCTGGGTACGTTGAGGAATCAACTATGCAAATACACGGAAAACTAGCGCTGAGGAGCCTACTAGGTATTCCAAAGCAAACTGAGCCTCCCATTGTGGATTTTAATTCAAGTTTCATGCCATGTGGGGGTCAAGGAATGAAAAGGGAGTTCCCTTTCCTTACTCATTAACAATTTTCATAATCTAAAAATTTTCACGAAATGAGTAGGAAATTAATTCTGTCGTAAAAGAAGCCATAAGACCATTGAAACACTGGCATCACCGCATCACGTGCTTCTCTCCCACGTGCTTCCTAAGATGTGAACATCAGCACCAGTATTTGCATAGTCTGGGCACAGGGCTGGGCTGTGCAGTTGGTTCATAGACTATTTCCTCATTTATAAAGTGTGAATAATAATAATACATGGACTTCTTGGGCTCTCATGTGGATAGCGTTTGCATTGTTCTTTGGGATCACCTGAAAGAAAAACTAGTTTATGTGATGGTTCCTGTTCTTATTTTAGGGATTGGCCAGTCCTTTTCCATAACCTGATTTCTGTCCCTGAGTGGACCTTCCCCAACAATCTCCTAACTCCTTATGAGTAGATGGGACTGATTGGTTGTTCACACACCCTGTAGACACCATAATTGTGTTTTGGCTGGTGATTTGGTGATATGTCTACAGAAACTGTATTTTACATTTTTATTTAAAAAATATAAAACCCACCCTGGCCAGTTGGGCTCAGCGGTTAGAGTGGTGGCCTACGGACCAATGAGCCTCGTGGGTTGGATTCCAGTCGAGGGCATGTACCTTGGTTGCAGTTTGTACCCCGGCCTTGGTCTGGTTGTGCAGAAGGCAACTAGTCAGTGTGTTTCTCTCAGATGAATGTTCCTCTCTCTCCCTCTCTCTCTTTCCCTCCCTTCCTCCCTCCCACTCTATTTGATGATAGAAAAATCTCCTCTGGTGAGGATTTTTTTTTTTAATGAAAAGAAAAAAAATAAAACCCTAAACTGTTTTGGCTTTTTCTGCTTTCCCATTCACTCAGTCTTCCCAAAACCTGATTTGAAGAACCTTCCCCTTCTCTGATCATGCAGTGGAATGGAAAGAATCACAGGCTTTGAGTCCCACAACTGCAATTCAGATCTAACTCCCACTCTGCCATTTACTGTTGGTGTGACCACCACAAAATCATGAATTGACTGGAGCCTCAGTACCCTCGTGGATAAAGTGGGGATAATCAACCCAATTTTAGGGGCTGATCTAAGATGATAGTGCATATAAAGTAGTTGACTCATAATAGATCAAAACAGAAGGAAGAATGCTCATCCTGGTACTGGAGGAGGAAAGTGTGTGTAGTACCACTGAGACTTCCCCAGCATGCTCCGTCTGTCTGTAGCTCTTTCTCAGAGCATCCAGCAGTCTCAGCTACATCCTCTGTCTCCCTGCCAGGATGATGTCCAGTAACTGTCTTATTGACCTACATCTCTTGATACAAATACAGAACTGTTTTTAACTTAGGAAATATAGGTTTAGTTAAAACAGGTCTCACAAACTGATATAATTGGTTGCTCACAGTTGGGGTAATAAGTGGCTGAAGAACAGGGTATACCTTCTTGCAAGTCTTCAATTTTAAACATATAAATGTATATATAATCATTTATTCAGAACACAAATGACTGAGATTTTTTGCTTTATTTTTCTTTTTGTTTGTTTTTAAAACAAGCCTTATCATCTGCTCTGGAATGTCTGTTGCTTATTTTTCTTATTCAGAGCTTGGGTAGTTTAGAACCCAACTAACTAATCACCATCACTTACCTAACAGGCTTCTCCTGGAGATGGTTCTGTTTTCTGTTATTGCTGCTGCCAATACCCATTCATCCAGGGTGAAAACCAATGACATCTTCAGTTCCCTTCCTCTTTTTCTTTTCTTTCTTTTTTTTTTTTTTTCTTGGTACATATCCCTAGCGGAAACCAAACCCAGGACTCCCTGGTCCGCAGGCCGACACGCCAACCACTGAGCCAAACCGGCCAGGGCTCTTTTTCTTTTTTTAATTCTGTAGTCAGTCAGTCACCACAGCCTGGGAATTCTAGTCAGCTGGTGTTTTTCTTTCCATTTCCACTCTGACCTTTAGAGGTCTAGGCTTTCATTGTTACACTTCTTAGCTAGTATTATAGCTAACACTCAACTTTCAAATTCTACCTCCTTCTGCTGATCCTATAGCCTGCTGCCAAGGGAATCCTAAAAGTTTTTTCTGCTCATGTCATTCCTCTGCTTAAAAACCTGTAGGTCACAACTGAGACTAGCAAATAACATATAAGCACCCTTGTCTAGCTTTAAGGCTCTGAGATATGGCTCCCCCTGTCCTAGTCCCCTTGACTCCTTTCACAGCTATCACATATCCCGATTCATATTAAACAACTTGCCATTTTCTAAACATAGCCCTCCCTTAAACCTCCTTGAATATATTTGATGCATATCTATTAAACATTTGCTATGTGCCAGGCATTGTTCCAGGTCCTGGGGATACACAGTTGAAAAAGGCAAGGACCCTCTCATCTCAGAGTCCACGTCCATCTTGGACATCCTTTCTCCAAAGGTTGACATTTTATCCATCTTTAAAGTGTAGTTGAAATCCCACCTCCCTGAGCCCAAAGTTTAAAGTTTACTCTCTTTTCTCTGGTTCCCATGGTTCCCATAGTTCTCTATTCATTTAGTGACTTTTTTTTTTTTTGATGGCACTAATCACATTCTGCCTTACATTTTAAATATTTTTATTTCTTTTCTTATTTTTTAACTTCATTAATGAATAGTTTACCAATATAACTGTATACAGTCATGTGCCGCTTAATGACAAGGATACATTCTAAGAAATGTGTTGTCAGGCCATTTTGTTGTTGTGCGAACATCATGAGGGCACTTATACAGACCTGGGTGGTGTAGCCTACTGCACACCTGGGCTCCAAGCTGTACAGCACGTGCCATATAAAACAACACAAAATTAAGACCTCGTGATGGCTACAGTGTTACTAAGCCATAGAAATTTTTCAGCTCCACTGTAATGTATGGGACCACCATCCTATATGGTCTATGGACTGCATATACAACTGATATGTAAAGTGTACTACATGATGATTTGATACACATACACTGTGGAATGGTTACCAAATCAAGATAATTAACACATCCAGAGAAGACATACAAATGGTGTACAGGTTTTGAAAAGTTGTTCAACATCACTTACCACTAGGAAAATGCAAATCAAAACCACAATGAGCCCAACTGGTGTGGCTCAGTGGTTGAGCGTTGAAACATGCACCAATAGGTCACCTGTTCGATTCCCAGTCAGGACATATGACCAGGTTGTGGACCAATCAATTTTCTCTCTCATTGATGTTTCTCTCTCTCTCTCCCTCCCCATCTTTCTCTAAAGTCAATAAAGAAAAACAATTAATAAAAAAAACTACATTGAATATTTATTTTTCTTAAAAGATTTCTGGGCAGCTTGAGAGCACAGACTGTTTTTTCATCTTTGTATTCTCCTTAATGCTGAGCACACTTTATTCTTAATAAAAGTTTCATATTTGTTTTATGTATGAATAAGCAAATGGACCTGCACCCAGCGTTACCCCAGACATCTGTTAGAACCAGTCACCTGTTCTCAGTGTTCTTTTCCTGGGTTTCAGAGTATAATTTCTAAGTATTATTGACCCTCATGCAACTATCACCTAGTTATTTAAATCTATCACATTTAGATGTTTTAATAGTCAAGGTATTTGGGAAATTTTTACGTGGTATGCAACCATAAAATTTAACATAATATTTTAATCAAATCTGATCATTTTACTACAACGTAAACGTAATAGTCTAATTAGTTCACACACCAGTCATTCTAATATAGACTTTATAAACTTTCCTATTGTGTTCTTTCCCTCTCCTAGAAAAATACCATAATGATAAGCTAGGTACAGCACATTTTTCTGTCAGTGGCTTATAGAAGTTATTTTGGTCTCTAAACAAACCTGGAGAATATACAGGGTAGGTGTTTTCTCTACTTTAAATATGAGGAAACTAAAGGACAGAGAAGTTGCATAATTTACAAGAAGTTAAAAGCTAATTACTGGCTCTGGCTGGTGTGGCTCAGTTAGTTGGGCTTTGTCCCATGCACCAAAAGGTTGCTGGTTCAATTCCCAGTCAGGGCAATTCCCAGGTTTCGGGTTCATTCCCCAGTACCAGGCATGCAGGAGGCAGCTGATCAATGTTCCACTCTCACATCGATGTTTCTCTCTCTAAAATCAATTTTTAAATATTTTTTAAGTAAAGCTAATTACTTAAAAAGACCAGGCTACCTTAATATCATGGTCATGATAATTGTGTCTTTTTCATTACTTTAAAATAATTATGCATTTTTTTTCTCTCTAGTGAAAGAAATGATGTCTTACGAGAAGCTGAAATTTTACACAAAGCTAGATTTAGTTACATTCTTCCAATTTTGGGAATTTGCAACGAGCCTGAATTTTTGGGAATAGTTACTGAATACATGCCAAATGGATCATTAAATGAACTCCTACACAGGGTAAGTATCATACATTTTCACTGGCTACAATTTTGTTATTCAGTTTATATAGTTCTTTGGTTTTACATGTGATCAAGTTATTAGGGGATAGATAGATGAATCAAAATAAGAATAACGAAAAACAACTGCAGTGCTAAAGTTTCACCATCTGTGGCTTCTTTTGTGTTGTTACAAGTAATGTGGAGTTAGACCTTGTGTTCTAAGAGACCTCAATTGTTTTGCTGAGGTTACTGTTCCTGGGTTTTATGCTGAATTCCAATATCCACATGTACATATACACTGGTAGGCGTGAGAGAGAGAAAAGGTAGACTCTGCACACTGTACAGTCCACTCTTAGTTAGGCCATTTTATTTTATGCTAAAGACAATTTAAGGTTCAAACTAAATGTTGATAATACCATTCATAAAGTTATAAATTAATAGGCCAAATAAATCTATCTCCGAGTTCCAAATACATTAGCTCTTCCATAATCAACAATGGCATGAGCTATTTACTTTTTTTCTCAAGGTACCATTTACTCTGGCTTTGATTGTGAATCCCATCAGTAAACAGATCTGGGGAGCCTCATTCTTAAAATATGTGTATTTATCTATTGTCATTTGCTTGAGCTGATATTATCTCCAACCTGCAATTTCTCTCAGTAAATGTTTTTAAACCACTCAGTTCATTTAGCGAGCCTTGGTTTAGTTAAAACTGGGTAATATAAAGTGTAAAGTCCAATTACTGGATGCTCCTAAATCCTGATACATCAATGTTCTGCAAGTGAAAAGGGAGAGTGAGTGCCACTGCCAGCCACTGGTGGAGGGACTTGCTCTTTGTTTTGGGACACAGCACATTCTGTTTATGATGTGAGCATCTAAAACACGATGAGGTCAGTGCATGAGGTTTGTGCAATCAGCACAGCAACCAAGATGCATATATTAACCAAGCACAATTTCTTTATAAGTAGGGATGTTAATGTTTCCTTCCCATATCCAACACCCCAGTAAATATTCTTGCGCCCAGATTTGGAGCCCTCTAGGAATTCTAGAGTTTCCTGCAGGGGAACTGCTAACTCCTGGAAGGAATCATGTCCAGCAGCCCTCTTTGAACACTGCAGTGCAGAGGACTTCTTCCTCCTTTAAACTACATAATTTTCAGAAAAGTCACCTGTTTACAGATTAAACAATTCAGCCACTCTAGTGGACAGGACTCTGTACATACCAGAGGAAGCAATGTTCAACATGAGTATTTGTGTTTCTTGGGGTTTCCTGTAGGCATTATTAGGGTGGGATTTATCTTGAAGCACCTCTTCCCATCCTCACAAAGAACTGTTGAAATAAATCAAAATACAATGTAAGCACAAAGTATTTGACCCACTTCTCTGCTAGGTGGATCCCTGAACTATAAGCTGATTCATTTGCAGAAAAAATTCCCAAGAACAGTTTGGGAATTTCAGTAGAAACATACTATTCATATGATTTAGAGACATGTACCCCGTGACATGGTGCCTGATGAGTCGTTGGAGGATCTTCCCCAAATATCTCATTCTCCTGAGATGCTGCATTAATTTTTATGTTCAGAAAACATTTATTTTATGTAAATTCAGGTGGATATTACTTGTAAGTACCAGAAATATAAAATATTGTTTTAAGGGTCTGTATTATATATGTTTTATAAATGAAGGTGATGTTTGCCTCCTTCAGGCTAATTTTTCAAGTTGGCAAATAAATTAATTATATGATTAAAAGTATGAGATATTGCCCTGGCCGGTTTGGCTCAGCAGTTAGATCATCGACCCTTGGACCAAATAGTCATGGGTTTGAGTCCGGTTAAGGGCACGAACCTTGGTTGTGGTTCGGTCCCCTGCCCTGGTCAGGGTCGAGTGATAGGCAACCAATCAGTGTCTCTCTCTCATATCAATGTTTCTCTCTCTCTCTTCCACTCTGTCTGAAAATAAATGGAAAAATATCCTTGGGTGAGGATTAAACAAAAAAAAAAAATCAATAAGAAAAATGAAAGTATGAGATATTAATGCTTAGTAAATATAACATGGTCATACTTTTTAATGGATACAATGATTATAATAATAAATTGTGGCTTTATATCAATAGGAATATTAAAACATTAATTTGAATGAATGATTTGGTATATACTAGAAACAAATTGAGTGCACACACACAAGCTACTTGTTATAAGCCATAGAACAGGGAGATGGGTGTAAGTATAGGTATATGTGTGTGGGTTTTATACAGATTAAAAAGTCATTGAAACTGTGTCAACTAAAGAAAGAAGACCCGATATCATGTAATTACATTACCACTATAAACTAAAAGGGAATAAATATCAATACTATAAAGTTACTTTCTCTAAAAAATGAGGAAAATAAGATATAAGGTCTTAATGTCAAATTGATACTATGTAATAAAAATGAGTATATGTTTTGACCTTAGTTTACACTATATTTCCTCAGAGAATATTTCATTTTCTAAGTGTGAATGTAATGAAAGTTGGCCACTGATTTTGGTTTTTTCCTTTCTTGCATATATGAAGAAAACAGAATATCCTGATGTCGCTTGGCCATTGAGATTCCGCATCCTGCATGAAATCGCACTGGGCGTAAATTACCTGCACAATATGAATCCCCCTCTACTGCATCATGACTTGAAGACTCAGAATATTTTATTGGATAATGAATTTCATGTTAAGGTAATTACTTTTTTAAAAAGTTTATGTGTGCCTGGCTGGTGTGGCTCAGTGGTTGATTGTCGACCCATGCACCAAGAGGTCACTGGTTCGATTCCCGGTCAGGACACATGCCCAGGTTGTGGGCCCAATCCCCAGCGCGGGGCATGCAGGAGGTGGCCAGTCGATGTTCTCACTCATTGATGTTTCTATCTCTCCCTCTCCCTTCCTCTCTCTAAAATCAATAAAGGGAAAAAAATAAAAAATAAAAAGTTTATGTGCATCCTTGCGATTAACAGCTTTGAAAAGACAGTAGTTACTTTTCCTCCTCGCCAACTGAATCTCCCTCCCTTTTCCATGACCCCTCATTCTTATCTTCAGTGTCCCTTCTTCCTGCTGCAATGGCTTAGTTGTTCCTATACCACAGACACAATTACAGTACAAAATACAAAATATTACATTTTAATTGAAATTGTGGCGCACAGCCTTTTTTTGGAAATAATTATAGATTCACAGGAAGTTGCAAAGATAATACAGAGAGGCTCCATGTACCCTTCACCTAGTTTCTGTCAATGATGACATCACACATAATGATAGTACTATTTCAACACCAAGAATCTGACCTGGTACGAGGCGCATATGTAGTTCTGTGTCACTTTACCACCTGTGTGCACTGCCCACACCACAAAGAGCACTCATGCTGCTCTTCAGTTGTACCCGTGTCCTGCCCTGCACCATCCCTGGCCTCTGGAAACCACCCATCGGTGTTTCCATCTCTATAATTTCATCATTTGGAGGATGCTTTATAAATAGAATCATCTAGTGTATGATATTTTGAGATTGGCTTTGTTTACTTAGGAAAATACCTTTGAGATCCATCCAAGTTGTTTCTTGCATCAGTAATTGGTCTTTTTAATTTATCAATAGTATTCCACTTTCGGAAATACCCCACTTGTTTAACCATTCACCTATTGAGAGACACTGGTTATTCCCAGTCTTTGGTAAATACTATAAAGCTTGCACAAACAATCCTGTGCAACTTTTGGGACAAACATCAGTTTTCATTCCTCTGGGATAGATGCTCAACTACTTGGTCACATGATGAGAGTATGTTTAGTTTTTTAAAAACTGTTTTATTCAACTATTTTCCAGAGTGGCCGTACCATTTTATATTCCACCAGCAATGTGTGGTAAGACCCAGCTTTTCCGCATCCTCGCCAGCATTTGGTATTACCACCACACTTTTTATTTGGCTGTTCTGATAAATGGATAGTAATAGCTCATCATGGTGGTCTTAATTTGCATCTTCCTAATGGCTGATGATGAATGCCTCCCTTGTGCTGTGTCACCTATATATCAATTTCAATGAAATGTCTATGTCTTAAGACATTTTCTAATTGGGTTTTGGGATGGGTTTTTTTGTTTTGTTTTTTTTATATCCTTACCCAAGGACATTTTTCCATTTTTTGTTCAGATAGAGTGGGAGGGAGAGAGAAACATCGATGTGAAAGGGACACATTGAGTAGTTGCCACCCACATGACCCAACCAGGGCCGGGGACAAACTGCTACCAAGGTACAAGCCCTTAGCGGGAACCAAACCCAGGTCTCTCTGGACCATAGGCCGACACTCTAACCGCTGAGCCAAACCAGCCAGGGCTGGGGTGGTTTTTTTTTTACTATCGGTTTTGAGAGTTCTATATATTTTCTTGATATGAGTCCTTCATTAGATATGTAGTTTGCAAATATTTTCACCTTTAAACAGGGCCTTACACAAAACAAAACCTTTAATTTTAATAAAGTCCAGCTTACCGCTTTATTCTGTTAGGATCATGCTTTTGCTGTCATGTCTAAGCATTCTTCATTAAGCCCTAGGTATTAAAGGTTGTCTTCTAATGTATTTTCTACAAGTTGTAGGATTCTATTCTTTTGCGTTAACTTTATTACTTTGAATTCATTTTGTGTAAAGGAGAATATGCAGATATACCAAGGCAGCAGATGTAGTGATTTCAGTCACCCTTCATCTGACTGACAGCAAATAAAAGGTGGTTGCTGAGCAATTAATGCTAATGTAACTCACTGTATTTTTATATATTATTTTCATACATTTCTTACAATAATGTACATAATTGAAGATTATTGTAAATATCAAAAAATGTTTAAGGAAATAATAGGGAAGTTGGAATAGAAAAATTAGTACAAAAAATGTGAGAAAGCCCAGTCGGTATGGCTCAGTGGATTGAGCATCGCTCCATATACTGAGAGGTCCCAGTTTGATTCCTGGTCAGGGCACATGCCTGAGTTGTGGGCTCAATCCCCAGTAGGGGGTGTGCAGGAGGCAGCCAATCATTGTTTCTCTCTCTCCCCCTTCCTCTTGTTTTAAGAAAAAAATCAATAAAAACATATTTAATTTTTTTTTTAATGAGAGAAAAACTAAGTGAAAAAATAAGCCCTTACTGAAGGCACTTTCTCTCCCTAAAATAAAATGGCAGAGAAGGGACAGGAAGCAAGCTGCTGCATAAGTCTTGCTAGAAAGAGACTGTCCGTGACATCAGTGATGGAATACTCAGCTAGTCCCTGCGTCTTCACTGCAACAACCTCTGGCCTCCCAAGGCAGTTACACTATGTCATGGGAGTCTCAGCATCCATACTGGAATGACTGACACTTTCTTTTGTGATCAACCAAAACTCCTCCCTTCCTGCTTCTGCCCACTGGTCCCAGATCCACTCTGTTTGATAAACTGAGTCAGTCCAATTCTGCTTCCACAGGACAGCCCTTCCGACATTTGAGGATGGCTACAGCCCTGCCCCTCATACTCCTGTGTTATGGCCTTATCCCTGCTAAACATCCCTGGTTGCTCAGCCACTTTCCTTAAGACTTGGTTTTAATCCCAGGTGCTACTAGATGAATCTATATTTCAGTCTCTCCCAAATTCTGATCCTCAGAACTGAATATATACTCTCAATGTGCTATGACCATTGTAGAATTGAACAGAAGTGTCATTCACCCTAGCCCTGAATACTAATAGTTCCTTAATAATGCACCAGCTTGGAGGAGCAGCCATATCACAACACTCGGATTGGGCTTGGTGTCAACAGAAAGCCCTGGAGCTTCTTGTTTTCATGTATTGTTGCTTGAGCCACGTCTCCTTGTTGTGTGCTTTACAGAATTTTTTCTGGACAGGAGAGTTGTACCTCGTTAGACCTAGCCATCACTTCGCTCTTTAAGACCTTTCTAAATGTTATTTCTGTATTCCAAGGGTTGTCATTTCTTTCCCAGCTTTGTGTCATCCTAAAATTTAATTAACTCAATTATTTTTGGTCTTCGAGTCATTTAATGGTGCAGAGCTCAGATCAGGGGGCACTCCATGACACCCTCAGGTCCATGTCAATCATCACTCTTAGAGAATAATCACTGTTTGTTTGGAGTACTCCTAAAAGAACTATTATACAGCCCATATGCCCTCATTTTGTCTATAAGAATATCATGAAAGTCCTTGCCTGACTGTGTCCGCAGATATCCTCATGGCTCACTCTCGCTGTCTTCAGCCTCATTTCCAGATGGCAGTCCCTAGAGCCTCTCACCATCGTACCTCCATTTACGCTTTTCCATAGTGTTTTTCACCATCTGACAGCACATTTTTTATTAATATGTTTATTGACCATCTCCCCCAGTTGGCATATAAGTTCTATAAAGACAGAAACTCAGTCTGTTTTATTAACTGCCATGTGCTCAGCACATGCCATATGGAAGCTTTCAGTAAACATCTGTGGAATGAACAAATGAATGACTTCCAGATCTTCTGTGTCCCAGACAGGTCTTCTAGCTTAACGATCGAAACACCTCAGAATGTTTTGTAATGTACAGACTGTCTGCACGTTTACTCTCTGACAGTCGTATATGTCAGAAAAGGAGATGAAGTCCGACATCCTTCCACCCAATGAATGCTTGTGGAGCAGCATTGTGCACAGCACTTGTGACGGATCGATAACATGAGGTCTGAAACTGACTACTGGTCAATAGACTTGTTTTTTATTACTCATAAAATATCCAATTTATGAAACTGTCTAAAATTTTTAAACCAGGGATTAAGGATAGTGTCCTCCTAATATGTAGGTTTGCAAAATCAATAATATTTTTCCTATCTAAAAATCAAAAGATATTCCCTTTTTCATATGCTATCTCACAGAGAACATTGATAGCACCAAGAGGTATCTGCAAGTTCTCAATAACCTGAACTGTGTATTAAATAACCTGAGACTTGAACTTTCTCATCCTGTCAACCTCCTTGGACTTGACTTTCTGAGTCTCGGTGCGGAGAAAATAGAAGCAAAGTTACAGGCAATCATCCTTTCTCTCTTCTTCGATCAGTAAGGACCCCTTAGTCTTTCTTTGATATGAATAGAATTTAAAATAGTTTGGCTTTGTGTATGTTTTTGTAATCTTTAAGTAACTGTAGCACGTAGAGATGGAACTGTGACCTTTCTGATACTATTCTTATAAACTAGTAACATTCTTATATGCACCTTGTGTGTCTTCATTTTTTACTTTATAAATGTCCCTTAAAGTAAACATCCATCATGACTCATGAAAAAGTAAGAATTATTTGATCTACTTATCTTCTTGGAAGGGCGTATAAATGAAGTGCAAAACACCTTTAAAAATACTTTATAAAGTTAAATATAAGTTTACCCCTCTTTAAAGTTCTTTTAAAAGTATGATTTCTTACTGGAATGCTAACTAGAAATATAGTAACTAAAAGAAAACTACTAATTAAGCCTAGCTGAGACTTTTCTGCTTTATTTTATTTTTTTTAATATGTGTTTATTGATTATTTTTTATTTTTATCCTCACCCAAGAACATTTTTACATTTATCTTCAGATAGAGCTGGAGGAAGAGAAAGGGGAAGAGAAAGAGAAAAACATTGATGTGAGAGAGACACTTCGACTGGTTACCACCCACACGACCCCATCCGGGGCCGGGGACAAACTACAACCAAGGTACATGCCCTTAGCAGGAACTGAACCCAGGACTCTCTGGTCCGCCGGCCAACGCTCTAACCGCTGAGCCTAACTGGCCAGGGCATGTTTTTATTGATTGTTTAGAGAGAAAGAAAGGGAGAGAGAGAAACATCGACGTCAGAGAGAAACATGGATTGTTACCTCCTGCACACCCCCCACTGGGGGCAATCCAGGCATGTGCCCTGACTGGGAATCAAACCAGGACCTCTCAGTCCATGGGACCATGCTCAGTCCACTGTGCCACACTGGCCAGATGAAACTTCTCTACTTTAATAGTATACATTCAATTTGGTTACCTGTTGGTCAAGTGTCTATTAGTGCCTCTTAAATACAAGTGAAGCAGTGATTGGCTTCAAGTAGAAAGTGTGTATATGTCTCTGCTATGCTGTCAGTCCTGTGTGGGAACCAGGAACTTATAGGAGGTTCTTCACAGCTTGTTTATCCTTTTAGGAGATGGACAGTGTATGTAAATGAAAGTAGCTATTCTGGTATGGTGGTAGGAGTATGGGTGATTGTCATCAATAGTGTATTTTAATTTCCTCTTATTTACATCATCTTTTAATAAAAAGAAAACGTTTAGTTTGGAAGTGCATTTGAAGATCTTGTGCAGGAAAGAAGTTCCTGTTCTGCCCGCACTGCTGAGTGATGGATTGATCAAGACATCGTGGAGCACTTACCCCTCCCATGACACTCTTCACTTCTGCTGTTGGAGACCCACAGTTACTGAACCATGTCTTTGTCTGTGATACTGTTTGCGACAGGACAGGGACAAGTGTGGTTTCATGTGAAAACCAAACTAAATCAGCTCGGAGCAAGAATTCTGACGAAGGCTTCTAGGCCAGGGTGGAAAACACAATGATGAGGCTCTTATATGAAGTAAAAGGGGCACATAGGAGGCACTCAGGCTGGGCTTTCTCTGGCACTCCCCAAACCAACGCTGAGCCCAGTAGTTTGCGAATTGGGGCTCAGATATAAATGAGACCACACTCCAATATTTTGAGCATTTTTCACTCAGGCCCAAAAGCAAACTTCACTTGGCATAGTAATGCTTCTTAGCCTGGCAGACGTGTGGCCGGAGTAATGTTTTGTTTGCAGAGGGTGGTGGGAGGAACAGAGTTTGCAGTGCCACGTGGTTTACTGTTCCCTGGAGCCTTGATACCACCCAGAGCAATTCATGGCCTGAAACTTGGCTCTGTGTTTGGTGGTACCGAATAAATAAGAGCAGCCTTTAAAGATGTGTTCTTATAGCCAAAGCATCAGCAATACTAATTCAGCCTGTTTAATTTTATAAGTACAGCCACACGCTATAGATTCTATATCATTCCCAGTTTACAGACAGGCAATCTGAGTCACAGAGAAATTTTAAAACTCACTCAAGGTCAGTCTTCTTAGCATGTGCCGTCCAGCTTGGCACATCATGCATTGGCACCATGTTCTCTCTTGGTTTTTTCTAATTTTGTTTTCCTTAGACTTATCCCTTTTATTATAGTAATTCATGTAAGATTCATGCAATCTGTCTCCTCCCTTTTTGGAGTGGGGCCATGTTTTTTTATTATCTCAAATTCATCTACACACTAAACAAATGATTTCTTCTGTTAAAACTAGTAAAAACATAGGAGTTAAATAACTGAAACACAAGTGGTGTCCTAGGCGGAGCTCATGCCACTATGCTGACTGTGAAACTCTACAGTGTGGAGGGCTAGGAACTTAAATTAAATGCCTTCAAAGGCTTCCCATCCTCTTTGCCCACTAAATACTGTTTCTGTTCTTATATTTGTCTTCCACTTAAAAAATTAAGGTAACTTCTAAATATTTAGCTATAAGGCATTGTAATAACATATGTACAAAATTTATAAGTAACATAAAACTAAAGGGCATTTCAAAAGCATGAATATTTGTCTTTGGTAATTTTTTAGGCACTTGTTGTCATGGATATAAATATGCTGTATATGCTAAAATACCACTACCAAGAGATGTGGCTCTTTAAAGAATAGACATAAATCATATAATAATGAACTATACCTTATTGGGATTCCACCTTTTTCAAAATTTAAGGATACTATTTTTAGAGCATTATAAATAAGAACATATAAACCTGAGTTGTACCAATGCCAGTGACAATCACGTGAGACTGAGTAGTTTAGCAGTTCTGTGAAGGAAAATGTTTGGTGTATACATCCATTCAGATTATAAGAAAAAAAATACTCCTCTTTCGTTTTTTTTCAAAAGTCTCCTTTTGAAATTTTGTAATGTTGTGCTAAACTTCAAGTCAGTATGTATTGTTTCTGGAGTTACTGTGCTCAGCACTGTGGAATCCAAGAAACTGATGGAATATGTAGAAATAAAATATTAATATATATAATATATAATTTTTTTTTTTAGAAGAAGAGAGAGAGAGGGATGTCGATGTGAGAGAGACACATCTATTGGTTGCCTCCTACACAACCCTGACCAGGGCCGGACCTGCAACCCAGGTACATGCCCTTGACCCAGAATTGAACCTGAGATCCTTTGGTCCACAGGCTGATACTCTAACCACTGAGCCAAACTGGCCAGGGCTATAATATTATATTGAATACACATAGACAAAGACAACTGATTCTTGGATGTGTTTAAAGAGAAAACCTTTAAATTTGATCACTCTTTTTCCTCCCAGATCGCAGATTTTGGTTTATCAAAGTGGCGCATGATGTCCCTGTCCCAATCTCGAAATAGTAAAGCTGCACCAGAAGGAGGAACCATCATCTATATGCCACCTGAAAACTATGAGCCTGGGCAAAAATCAAGGGCCAGTGTCAAGCATGACATATACAGGTATAGTGTGTTACTTTTGCTCAGAGTTAACTTGTCTGAAAAACAAGATTACTATATCCGAATTGTTACGCTACATTTTAAAATGTGATTTTTATTCTTCTTTCCTAAGTGTGGGGAAAATAAATTAGAGCTCACAGTGACTAGTGTTTCTGGAGTTAAAGATGCCTTGCTTTATGCCACTTTTACATCCTTGAAAGCACATTTTGTCATCCTGTCGATTTATAATGGAATCCTCCAGGGTTTTATCACATGTGACTTTGATGTGGGGTGAGGTAGGGGAGGGGAGGGACAGTGTGGTTAACATTTTATACCTCTGAAACAGACAGTACTTAGACCAGAACAAAGTCAATAAACAGGGCTACATAGGACAGTCTTTTTTATTGCTTTTTGTGTGAATAATAAAATTACGTAATTACAGTTGGCCCTCGTCTGTCGCGGTGACTCAGTTCCAGACTCTACCACGATAAATGGATTTCCGCGAAGTAGGATTCTTTATTTATACAGTCGTCCCTCGCCACTTCGCACTCCCACTTTTATGGTTAGTATTTGAAAAAACTGCAATAGAGTGAAGCTGCGAAGTTGAAGCGCGAAGTAGCGAGGGACGACTGTAGAGGGTATAGCTTATCTTGGTGTTCAAGAATGATTATTAATGATCCATAATTTATTTTTGCATATAACTTCAAGTTTTTATAACAGTAATTTCTTAATTTTTCAATTTAAGATTAATTCCATTTCAAAACAAACTGAATAGTCATCATCTTTGTTGTATATGCCGATTCTTTACACAGCAATTCACTACCTTGTCACTTTAAAAACCAATATCTACACAGTCAGCTTTTAAATGTGGTGTTTAGTTCATTGTGCATAGCTAGTTTATGATGCACCATGTATATTTTATCTTCAACAGCTATGCAGTCATCACATGGGAAGTCTTGTCCAGAAAACAGCCTTTTGAGGGTAAGTGGACGTTGACCTCCACTCTGGAGAACGTCCTATTGATGGGCCGCATGTAGAACTCTCTCAGGCTCATCTATTTTAAATCTGCCCACCATTCATTTTGTGGAAAACACACTATAACACATTACTTACCTCCAATCCACTGTACACTGAGAAGCTACTAGATTCAGGATCAGAAAAATTAGATTCTAATCCTTGTTCTGACAGTAATTAGTTCTGTCATCAAGCTACTAAATGTCTTGAGTCTTCCTTTGTTCCCTGTAAAATGAGAATCTTGAATTCCTATATGTAAGACTCATTCCAGCTATAAAACACTTTGTATGAAATGTTAGTGTTCCTGCTAGAAAGACCAGCAAACACTAAAGAATAAATTTTCACATTTTCTGAAAATATTATTTCTTTATTTTGAGGTTTGTATAGTCAGCCTGCTGAGCAACAGACAAGCTCAGAATCTCAGCAGCTTACACAATAAACATTTATTCCTGAGTACACTGGATCTCAGTGGGGCCCTTCCTGGGTCCAATAAGTTCAGCTCAGCTCTGCTCTACTCACACCGTTTTCCAGATGAGATCACATGGCTGAGCCCAATGACAATGAGGCTACGATGTAAGCTCCTCCCTCCGAACCAGCTGAGCCTAAGGGTGGCTCAGATATACCTATTCCTGTAACAGAAAGCGGGGCAGTGAATTAGACCTAAGATTTTCAGAGTCCCTCATTTTCACTGTTTGGTTTTAGAATGGATTTAGCATATTGTATCATAAAATATTTCTAATGAATGATGTATATTTGTTTCAACAGAAGTCATCAATCCTTTGCAGATTATGTACAGTGTGTCACAAGGAAATCGACCGGACACCAGTGAAGAAAGTCTGCCATCTGACGTACCGCATCGAGCACAGATGGTCTCGCTCATAGAAAGTGGATGGGCACAAAACCCAGATGAAAGGCCCTCCTTCCTAAGTGAGTGCACACTTTAACCTGGGCTTGCTGAATTACAAAACAGTGAATATACTGTGAATAAACTATTCCTTGAAAACTTACACAAATTATATGACAAGCTCAAAGTTGTTGCTTTTCTTCTCTTCACTCTCGTTATTCATAGTGTTTATAAAATGGTAACTGCTTCTAGAGAAGAACTGAGATCCCTCATAGAAAAAGTCATAATTCCATTCTTATATGCCACAAATATTTACTGAATGCCTACATTGTGCTTCATCAGCCGAGGTGAGCACTGGGAAGAGTAGTGACTGAGACTCAGTTGCTGAATTCCTGGAGCTCACCTCTAGTTGAGAAAGGAAGAAAAAACAAACAAGTTATAAATTTTAAAGTCCTGTAAGGAAATAAGCAAAGTAACAGTAGGTAAGGGAGGGGAAGGAAAGCCCTTTACTTAGGAACAAATGTCTGCAGTGAAACTCAGAGCTTGAAAGGGAGGCAGCCTTCTAAAGCTGAAGGCAGAGTATTTCAGGCGGAGAAAACCTGAGGGCAGAGCCCTCGGCCGAAGATGAACCAAAGGAAGGCTGCATGGCTGGGATACAGTGAGCAAGGAAGCGAGTGATATGGGATGCCCTGGAGAGGGAAGGGGAGGCCGCTGCCATTATAGAAGATTAGATACTGGTTCCCAGTAAGTGGGAAGCCAGGGAAGTATGTCTCTTAGGGAATGAGCTGATCTGATTTGAGTTTAGAAGTCACTCTTGCTGCAGTGTGGAATGGAGGCAGAGAGCAGCCGGGAGACTTTCCTAAGCAACATTGTAATGCTAGAGACAGAAAATTATACAGAATTAAGATCACCTCTAGCTCTTCTGCAGATCATGCATTAGGCAACACCTACTTCTCTCTGCACCTCCCGGGTTTCCCGTTGTTCCCTGGACAGTAGGGTATCTGGCTCACTGACTTCTCCACCCGTACTGATCAGGACTCTAGTACTTGAGGAGCCCTCACAGTCTCTGGAGTTCTGTGCGCCTCTCCTCTCTAGCACTCTGCCCTGTGAACTGTCTGCCTTGGTCAACAGCCTCCTCAACTGTGTCTCCAGGCTCCACCTCATCACATCCCTCTCTCTCAATACAGTGAGCCCTGCAGTCCTAAGGTTTGCCTCATCTGTTTCCCATCTCTCAGATCACTGTCCCTTGTTGCCTGACAGCTGCTGTCTTGGAAACCACTCTTTTGTGTATTTTGTCTGGCTTTTCTGGTTGTTTCAGGCAGGAGGGTAAGTCAGTCCGTTACTCCATCTTGGCCACAGTGATAGTTACCCCTGGTTCTCTTTAAATCAATGGCCCAAACCAGGCACTAAACACTGCCTCTCAGATCTATTTACTATTCCATTCTGATATACCAGCTGTTCTTAAGGTGTGGTGCAGGGATTCCTGGGGAGGCTGTTCCCTGAGACTCTCATACGGGCTTACAAAACCAAAACTGTTTTCAAAATAATAAATACAAGGACACTATATTCCCTTCTTCCTCTCATCCTCTTGAGAGGCTGAATGAGGCATGATGGTGTCACTGCTCTAGTGCATAATGCAACGTGTTCTCATATACTCTTGTTTTAAACTTTTCTGTTTTAATTTCTAATATACTAAATATCATTAGATATGACCCTCATATACAAAAGCTCTTTGGGCTCCTCCATAATTTTGAAAAGTGCTGAGCACTAACAGCTTGAGGGTTGCTGTCTCAGATGCTCACCTTGACATCTCCACATCTCCAAAGTGAAACTTCTGGAAACTTTCCCTGTGGTTCCAAGACATGAGAGATCCTGTCCTCCCTTCCTCATCGTTCCTCTCTCTACTCAGTTTCTCACTGAATGCCTTGGAATTCTAATAGGCGTCCTCGGCTGCTCGTTCTCCACACTCTTCCCAGACTGTGGCTTTGTACACCACCCATGTATAGTGACACTCAGTTTTATCTCTGGAGCCTGGCCTCTCCCTTGAGCAACAAGTTCCTTTTTTATTGTGGTAATAATAGTAATTATGATTGTTCCCACTTGTTGGCTGCTGTGAACAATGCTGCTGTGACCGTGCACATGCCAGTCTTTACGTGAACGTGGTTTCCTTTCTCTCAGGTAACTGCCTATGAGTGGAATTGCTCGGTTTTATGGTAAATTTATCTTCCATTTTTAAAAACTGCCAGATTGTTTCCAAAGTGGCTGCCTCATGATGCATTTCCACTAGTAACACGTGGTGTTTCCCATTTCTCTCATCACTCTCGACACTTGCTATTATTGTCTGTCTTTTTAATTATAGCTATTTGAGTGGGTACGGAGTGATATCTCATTGTAGTTTTAATTTGCATTTCCTAAAGACTGATAAAGTTCAACATATTTTCATGTGCTTTTTACCCATTTTTATCTCCCCTTTGGTAAAATTTAATTTTTTTTCCCATTTTTAAATTGAGTTATTTGTCTTATTAAGTTGTACAAAGTTCTTTGTATATTCTAGATGTGAGTCCCTTAGCAGACACATGGTATGCAAAAATGTTCTCCCAGTCTGTAGCTAGTCTTTTCTTTTTTCTTAATAGTGTCTTTTGAAGTGTAAAAGTTTTCAATATTTTGAAGTTAAATGATCAGTTTTTGTATGAGTCCTGTTTTTTATGTCATATCAGAATTCTTTGCCCTAACCCAAGGTCATGAAGATCTTCTCCTATACTTACATTTAGGTGCATGATCCATTTCCGGTAAATTCTTCATATGGTGTGAGAGTAAGAATCTAAAATATGTTTCCATGTGGCTATCCAACTGTCCCAGCACTATTTGTTGAAATGACTATCCTTTCCCCGTTGAATTGCCTTTTCATTTTGTCAAAAAGCAATTGACCATAATTGTAAGGGTTTAATTTTACACTCTAAGCTCTGTTTCTGTTCCACTGATCTAATGTCTCCTTTTTTTTTTCCATCACCCTACTCTTTCACAACCACCAGTTTGTTCTCTGCATCTGTGGGTCTGTTTCTGTTTTGTTTTTAGACTCCACGTATAAATGAAGTAATATGATATTTGTCTCTTTCTGTCTGACTTATTTCACTTAGCATAATATCCTCTAGGTCAGTGGTTCTCAACCTTCCTAAGGCCTCTATCCTTTAATACAGTTCCTCATGTTGTAGTGACCCCCAACCATAAAATTATTTTTGTTGCTACTTCATAACTATAATATTGTTACTGTTATGTCTTAGGCAAATCCTGTGAATAGGTCATTTGACCCCCAAAGGGGTCGCAACACACAGGTTGAGAATCGCTGCTCTAGGTCCATCCATGTGGTTTTCATTCTTTTTTATGGCTATATGTATTCCATTGTGTAAATGTATCATATCTTTATCCATTCATCTATCAATGGACACTTAGGTTGCTTCCATATTTTGGCCATGGTTAAAAAAAAATGCTGCAGTGAACTTAGGGTACACTTATCTTTTCAGATTTGTGTTTTTGTTTTCTTTGAAAAAATACCCAGAAATGAAATTGCTGGGTCATATGGAGGTTCTGTTTTTAATTTTTTGAGGAATCTCCATACTGCTTTCCACAGTGGCTGCACCAATATACATTCCCACCAACAGTGCACGAGGTGCCCCTTTTCTCCACATCCTCACCAACACTTGTGGTTTGTTGATTATTGATAACCATTCTGACAGGTGTGAGGTGATAGCTCATTATGGTTTTAATTTGCATATCCATGGTGATTAGTGATGTTGAGGATCTTTTTATGTATCTATTAGTCATCTCTATGTCCTCTTTGGAGACATTTCTGCTCAGGTTTTCTGCCCATTTTTCCATTGGATTGTTTGTTTTTTTGGTGTTAAGTTGTATGTGTTCCTTATATTTTGGGGTTAGGGTTAGGGTTAGGGTTAGGGTTAGGGTTAAGGCTGGATATATCATTTGTAAATATATTCTCCCATTCAGTAGGTTGTCTTTTCATTGTGTTGATGGTTTCATTTTCTGTGCAAAATCTTTTTCATCTGATATATTCCCACTTGTTTATTTCTGCTTTTGTTGCCTTGCCTGAGGAGACATATTAAGAAGATATTGCTGCCCTGGCCGGTTTGGCTCAGCGGTTGGAGCGTTGGCCTGCGGTACAGAGAGACCCGGGTTCGGTTCCCACTAAGGGCACGTACCTCGGTTGCAGTTTGTCCCCGGCCCTGGTTGGTCGTGCGGGTGGCAGCCACTCGATGTGTCCCTTCACATCAATGTTTCTCTCTCTCTCTCTTCCTCTCTCTCCCTCCCGCTCTATCTGAACAAAAAATGGAAAAATGTCCTCAGGTGAGGATAAAAAAAAAAAAAAAGAAGAAGATATTGCTAAGCTGATGTCAAAGAGGTTTTGCCTGTTTTCTTTTAGGAGTTTTATGGTTTCAGGTCTGACATTAAGTCTTTAATCCATTTTTAGTTTATTTTTGTTTATGGTGTATATATGATATCTTTATGCCTGTCATAAAGGCTTTTCAGACAGTTGATTTTCATCAGTGGGGAAAAATGACTTAGGGCCTTGTCAGTTAAATATTAGCATTTATATTATTCAACTGAATGATTAGATACAGTCTGAGCTCTAATTTTTTTCTTATTTAGAATGTTTAATAGAACTTGAACCAGTTCTGAGAACATATGAAGAGATAAGTTTTCTTGAAGCTGTTTTACAACTAAAGAAAACAAAGGTAAACAAATTGCTAAATGAAATGCTAGAAATCAGACTTTAATCAATTATATATTAGTCATGAAGACTTTCAATTTAGTTTATAGTTCTTACCTGTATACTTTTCACAAGTATGAGCTACAGTATTGGGGTAGAGTTTATAATTCTAATCTGTATACTTTTCACAGGTATGGGCTACAGTATTGGGGTAGAGTGTATAGTTCTTACCTGTAGACTTTTCACAGGTACAGGCTACAGTATCAGGTGGAGAGTTTCCCAGAGACTGTAAATGCCATCCTTCTGTCATCAAAGAGCTTTTCCATAACATTCAGATAGCTACCTCCAGATTTCAGGAATTTCTAGAACTCCCATATATTACATTTAAATGTAAAATGTGCTATGAATGCTAGTGTGTGCAATGATTCCCTAAATCAGCTACAAGTTTTTTTAATCTACATTTATTACCCTAAAGTTTTAATATATTCAGAGTAATAGATGTCTAGATTCTTACACTCCTCTTTGTCCAGTGTTCTCGGGTTTTTCCGAGATTTAAGTTAAGTAGGATTTTTATTAAAAATTGAGGCCAAAATGTGTATTTTTAAATTGCATTTTTGTTTTTTGTTGTCCTACTCACTTGATGTTGCGCAGGCCAAAGTATCAGTTGACATGGACCTAGAACAGTTGTCTTCTTTACTCACACTGGCTCTTGCAGATCAGAAGAACTGAAGAGACCTAATACTGCAGGGTTTTCTTAACATTATCAAAAGTTGCTTAAAAAGCAACCATAGCCCTGGCTGGTTTTGTTCAGTGGTTAGAGCATTGGCCCAAGGACCGAAGGGTTGCAGGTTCAATCCCGGTCAAGGACACATACCTGGGTTGCAGGTTTGATTCCCGGTCAAAGACACATACCTGGGTTGCAGATTCAATCCCCGGCCCCAGTCACATCACTGTTTCTCTCCCTCCCTTCCACTCTATTTTTTTTTTTTTAATCCTCACCCGAGGAAATTTTTACATTTATCTTCAGACAGAGTGGAAGGGAGAGAGAGAGAAACATCAATGTGAGAGAGACACATCAGTGGATTGCCACCTGCACAACCCCAACTGGGGCCAAGGCCAAACCACAACCAAGGTACGTGCCCTTGGCCAGAATCAAGCTCAGGACTCCTTGGTCCACCGGCCGACTCTCTAACCACTGAGAAAAACTGGCCAGGGCCCCTCCACTCTATATTAAAAAAAAAAAAAAAATCCTCGGATGAGGATTAAATATAAATAAATAAATAAATAAGCAAGCAACCGTAGTCCGTTAGGGACAGAGTAAGCTTGGTTTAGCACTTGTTGGGTTTCCTGATATTGCATTTGAGATACGATAATAAAAATCATTAATTATTAGCCAAACTCTTGGGTTTGCTTATCACTAAGTGACATTGCTGCTCATCTCTCAAAGTTTGCTGGATCAATTGACATAACCTTTGGTTTAGAAGGGACACGCATAAAGGAAACAACTACCTTTAACCAAACTAAAAATTGACGGTGATAATACTAGTTAGTGCCTGCATGTTTAAGGAACTAAAAAGGAACTGTGTTAATTCTTTTAAAACCTTTCACTGAATTTCCCACTTCTGAGTAGGTACAGTCTTTTCCAGAACATTCCAGTTTCTCCACTTCTTAGTAGATATAAACATCAATAAGATTTCTTTTTTCTTTATCTTTTCAGTTCCCTTTTTTTCCTCATAACTTTCTCTTCTTCTAAGCAACGGTGGATAGAAGGGTCTGTTTTCCTAGTTGAAAGTAGAAGAGACCTATTCTAGTTCCTTTTTGTCCCCAGACAACTCACATTAGGATCTGTATCTAAAACAACTAAGTTTTAGAAGTTCTGGCTTTTTAAATAAAGTAAGTGAAAGTATATATTTTCAAATAATTGAATATCATTTAATAATAGCATTACTTTCATCCTTGTTTTTAACTAGCTGTATTATTTTTATTTAGAGTTATTGTAGTTATTTTTTAATTTTTACCCAAAAAGTCCTTATATCAGTTCTGTGAAACTCGTAGGGCAAGAACATCATCTCCATTGTATAGGAGAAATAGGAGGTATGAGGATGTTAGTGACTAACACCCCACACAGCTAGCTAACAGCGGGGCCAAAGTAGAATGCAAACTTTGTAAGATATTTCATAAAGACATTTCTGAGACCAGAGATCACCATTTAGGGTAATTTGTTTTGTTTGAGTATTTTACTTATATGATTCCTTAATTGCCTCCAATTAAAGTGCATATATCTATTCATTCCAGTTACAGAGTGCTTTCAGTACTATTCATTTGTGTGACAAGAAGAAAATGGAGTTATCTCTGAATATGTCTCTAAATAATGGTCCACAAGAGGTAAAAAAATTATGTTGATAAACTCAAAATGTGAGAAGAATATGAAAAGACATTTTTTAATCTAACTCCTTTTATAGACCGGAAACTAGCCCAGGAGGGTTCTAGGATCTGTCAGGTAGCCCATGGCAATCCCCGACTGGAAATACAGCTCTCCTCATTCTTAGTTCACTGTTCATCTCCTCGAGGCATAGTCCCGCTGTCCTTGTTTGGCACTGACTTCTGCCCCTGCCATCGTTCTGCGTGATGAATGTTAGTGACTAACACCCCACACAGCTAGCTAACAGTGGAGCCAAAGTAGAATGTACACTTTGTAAGATTTTTCATAAAGACATTTCTGAGACCAGAGATCTGTAATCTGTAAAGTGAATATACATATTCTTAAAAGAAATGACCAATATGAAATAAGCCTGAATGAATGCTACTAAATCTATCTCTCTTTGTGGATAGCCACACAGATGGCATTTTCCTGGAGTAGTGCTAGGCCAATCACTGACTGCAGTTCTGCCACTACACTCATGCCTGCCTATCCTTTCCTCTCACTGATTAACAGAAGGAAAATGCCATTTGTGTGGCTATCCACAAAGAGAGATTTATTTAGTAGCATTCATTCAGGCTTATTTCATATTGGTCATTTCTTTTAAGAATATGTATGTTCACTTTACAGATTCACAAAACACCTTCAAAATGAACCTTAAAGCACAGTGTGTGGTCTGTGAATCCCTTCACATACACTCTCACTGCATCTCTGAGCCCAAGCACGCATATTTTTAGATAGATACTACAGATATCACAGAAAAAGAACCCGAGAGCCGGAGGGTGGAAATGCCTTATCGGAGGTAGGTCTGTAACTCCACACGGAGCTAGTGGTGGGCCCAGCTCTCCACCACTTCCGCATGGACCCCTGCATGTGGAGGGGTCCTGAGGCATTGAGAGTAGGCATTTGCTCTAAATCAGTAGGTAACCAGAATTGCAGATTTCAAATTTCTCATCAGCTGTACAGATGAAATCATATAGCAAATATTGGAAAAATAATGACTTGTAATATATTTAATTATTGTACCCCCATTCAAGTTGATCAAAAAATCAAGTTTTTTAATTTACTTGAGATATGTGTTTCTTTAGTTTTGCAAGGTATAATTTGTAGTTTTGATTATTTGTTTATAATAAGCCAAAACCAAGAACTATTTAGAAATTAAAACTGTGTAACTTAAAATTACTTTTCATTAACCTAAATCTTTTATCCCGTTTGCTTTAGGAATCGTGTGGATCCTCTCAGTTTCCTAAAAGTAGTGGTTCTCCTGGAACCTCAAGGTCCCTGTCTGCTCCTCAAGACAATGATTTTTTATCTAGTACGTAAATTTTTTAGTTAGTATGATTTGCAAGTTTTCTATTTTCTTTCAAGATGATGTTCTTGACAAACAATCATGGTTTGTGTGGAATGTGTCTTTCCTTTGCATTCTTAGCTCATTTCTACAAAAGGACAGATGTTTTAGGGATGTTCAACAAATCCACTTGAGTATCAAAAAAATGATGTTAGACATTATAGAAAAATATAACAAAGTATCTTATGAGAAAGAGGAGCAGGATGTCTGAGTGTCCACAGTGTGAGACAGGAAGCATGTGGGAGGGAGGTGAGCAGAGCTGTGGTACTTCAGTGGGAGAGGAGCATTTTCCACAGGTGCTTTTACAGTAACCCTGAAAGGGAGATTTTCCTCATTAAGATCAAGACTTCTGGGTCACATAATTAGTAACAGGCAAATCCAGGACTCAAAGCCATGTCTTTGTGAATATTTTCATAGCATTCTACTCTACCATGTGGCACCTTGAAGAACTATTTCTGGCTGCAGGCTGGACCTATAGTTATAAAGGGTGGATATTCCAGGCAGAGGAACCACAACGGGTTCAGCAACAAGAAAGCACAGAACAGTGAGCAGTTGAGATTCCTGAAAAGGGGGAATAGAAAGAGAGGAAAGGTCCAATACCAGGCTTCACTGTCTGGGCTTTCACTTGGGTAGTGATCAACCACCGCAAATTTTTGAGCAAGTGTGTGACATGATGAAATCTTTTGCTTCAGGAAGATTCATCCTGGCCAAACCCTAGGATATTTTGGAAGCAAAGGGAGATGAAGTAGGGAGACCAGTTAGGATTGTAGCACAGCTGAGACACTAGGAGGCCAGGAAGTCTGATCCGCGTATAGAAGGGAGGAAGGGGTGCCGCGTGTGTGGACTCTGATAGGACTTGACGACTTCTCACTTGCAGGAGGCAACAGAGAGAGATAAAGCTTGGACTGAGAGAACATTGGTGCTTTAACTGAAATAGGTTTTAGAGTTAAGATGAATAATTACGTTTTTAACATGGATTTTTGTTTGTTGTTTGTTAATCCTTACCCGAGGATATTTTTCTATTGATTTTTTTTAGATAGAGTGGAAAGGAGGGAGGGAGATAGGGAAAACATCGATGCGAGAGAGACACATTGATTAGTTGCCTCCCGCACAACCCAGACTGGGGCTAGAGATTAAACCTGCAACCCAGGTACATGCACTTGACCGGGAACTGAACCCGCAACTCTACAGTTTGCTGGCACATGCTCTAACCTCTAAGCCAAACCAGCCAGGGCTGGTTATTTTTGTGTTTTTTGTTTTTAATTTGCGGCGCTCAGCAGCGTATATGAGGGTGAGGTCCAGTTGACTGCTTAAAATGTGAGACAGGTTTCGTGAAGTCAGAAAATGTAATTACATGGACTCAGGAAGACAGATGACAGCTGAGGCCCTGAGGTTGAACCGGATTACCAAAGGAGAATGTATAGAGACACACGTCACACACAGAATCAGAGGACACATCCAAACTGCAGGAGGAGGAAGACAGCAGGGAAAGAAAAAGAGGGGAAGATGTAAAGAAGTAAAATTACACAATCTGTCATTTACAGAGGACAGACGAGCACAGACAGAAGAACAGTGAAAACATTCAGTATAAATCCTTTCTGTTCTAAAAAATATTTACTTGCAGCCCTGGCCAGTTTGGCTCAGCGGTTAGAGCAGCAGCCTGCGGACCAATGAGTCACAGGTTCAATTCTGGCCAAGGGCATGTACCTCAGTTGTGGTTCCTCTCTGGCCCTGGTTGGGGTTGTGTGGGAGGCAGTCACTTGATAAAAAATGGGGAAAATGTCTAGTGAGGATTAAAATATATATATATATATATATATATATATATATATATATATATATGTAGTTTCTTGCAGAATTAGGTTTATGAACCAGCTTGAGGAGGAGTGAAGAATGGCAGACATTGAATACTCTCCTCTGTATGACCCCAGTGTTGATTCTTGAGCTAACAGGAATAGCTAAGGAATATTCTACCCACAATGAAACTGTTGTTTTTTCAGGAAAAACCCAGGACTTCTCTACCCTGCTTCACTGCCCGGCAAATCACAGCTGGGACAACGTGGCTGTGGCCCAGACGGCCACATTCTATGACCACAAGACCGCCCCATGCTCTTTAGCAACAAACCCACTCTCAGCCGAGGGCAATTCAGGTACATTTCTGCGGTGAGGTGCCCGTACGTGATGCCATCCACCTGGCAGCTCTCCGCTCGGGAGGTGTGCCCACAGTCAGAGTTATCTGTCTTCGTCCCCTCAGTGCTAGAAACACACACACTCTTAACTGGGAAGCACTTTCTTTCCTAGCACACAGGAGGGCTAACATGCAGTCCCCAGCTTAGTGGTGCTCATTCCACGAGCATCTCTGGTGAGGGAGGCTAGGGGGATGTGTGACCTAATATGTCACTAAAGGCAGAGTTGTTTTTGTTTGTCTAACAAATATGCAGGTATATTTCTTTTTTTTTTTTTTAAACCTGAAAAATGGTTTTACCCCCATGATTTGTAGCCTATAAAAAGGCAGTGCTTTTTCTGGGAGGGGATGAGAAGAGATAAATATCTGAATGTTTCCTGAAAATTAACAACATTCCACCAAAATACTGGTTTCCTATATTAGCACAATCATAGTAAAATAAGGTTTTATGTCTCATCATTTCTTTTTTCATCTGCTTTTACTCCTTGCTACATATCTGTCCTTACCTTTTAATTGTCACCCCTGCTCTGTTCAGAACGATCACAGCCTGGAGTGGCCCAGCAGTGGATCCAGAGTAAGAGGGAGGATGTAGTGAGCCAGATGACCGAAGCCTGCCTTAACCAGTCGCTGGACGCCCTGCTGTCCCGGGACCTGATCATGAAGGAGGACTATGAACTCATCAGCACCAAACCCACAAGGACCGCAAAAGTCAGACAGTTGCTGGACACCACTGACATTCAAGGAGAGGAATTTGCCAAAGTCATAGTGCAAAAGCTGAAGGACAATAAACAGATGGGTCTCCAGCCGTACCCGGAAATACTGCCAGCTTCTCGATCACCATCTTTAAATTTATTTCAAAATAAAAGTTTATAAGTACTTTTTTGCAAGAAGAAAAGTCAGTTTATTGAAAGGTATTTTATATTTCTGTTGCCCTGATCAGATTGTTTTTATGTGAAATCTATGTAAGTATTAGTAGTTTTAATGAAGTTTCTCCTTCAGGTCAATATTAGTCTCCTCCAATACATTACAGTATTTTTTAAAATTTAAAAAGTTGAAAGTTTGCATTTTTCTCCATAGTTCAATTTTTGTCTCTTTGGTTAATTGAAGCTATTTTTTCTTTTTGTTTATTTTTTATTTATTTTAGAGAGACAGGAAGGGAGAGAGCAAGAAACATCAATTGGTTGCCTCGCTTACGTGCCCCAACCGGGGATCAAACCCGAAACCTAGATACATACTCTGATCGGGAATGGAACCCAAAACTTTTTATTTGGTGCATGGGACAATGCTCCAACCAACTGAGCCACCCACCCAGACAGGGCAATTGAAGCTATTTTTTCAATGTAATAATTATGCGCTTCTCGTACATAGTGATGTCTGTCAGTACCGGGCGTTCTCGTGGAAGTGTCTTCACGTTCACTTTGTTTGTGGATTATTTATTACCCGTCTGAGATGTAGTCTGGCTTTTGCATTGTGCTCTTTACAGCCACACCAGAGAGAGCAAAGCCTTCCTACCCTGCCATCCGGGTCACATCCTCTCCCAGGGGGTGTGCATTAAATTCTGTTGTCCAAATTACCTTTTTAAGTGTTATTTATTGAATTCTTCTTTTAAAAATTGTTTCACAGGTAAAACAATACAAAGTATATAAAGAAAAATATAAATATTTCCACATGTGTCTATACCTCTGTTTCTGACCTCAACCAACAATCTCAGAGTGGACAGCGTGATTGTCCTTCTGTCCCCTTCTTCCTGCTCATTTGGAAAGGCTGTTTCTTCATGTGACCTGCTCTGTGCACCGAGGACTGTCACATCCATACCACACAGAGCTCAGGTATATTCTTGTTCACTGCTGTACAGTACCAGCAGGGCAGCTTTCTTATTTTCTTTACGATACAATGTGAGGTTTTTGAGAAGATGGCAGCGGGCAGGACCAGAGGGAGGGTGAGTGTGTGAGAGTGTGAGTGGACATGAACGTGGATGACCAAACCTGAGCAGTGCAGAGCTGCGGAGCAGAAGGTCCCTGTGCTGTGGACGGAGCAGCCGGCTACCACGGTGAGCGGCCCTTCAGGGTGCTTCTCCCTGAGCCATGGGGAGGACCCACCACTTTGGAAGATCCCGGGTCTTCCCTGGAAGGAGGCAGTGGGAGCGGCTAGGGCCCAGCAACCTGAGCCCACCAGTGCACCTGGCACCATCAGACCAGTGGACACTCTGTGTCAACACAGAGTGGTGCACAGTAGTGGAGCTGCCAAGGTGCCGGTCGCGGAAGCCGCAAACAGCCTGGAGCCCAGCACTATCCCCCATAGTAGCAGCCCGATCAGAGTCAAGATATACCCCCAGCAACAGAGGCTGGAGAGCAGACATCCATCCCCAGGCAACAGAAGCACAGACCAGTAGCTGAGACCCATCCCCAAAAACTACAGCAAAAGCTGAGCAGGAGCTGAGCCCCACAGGGCAGCAGCACTCCCCAGCCGCCAGCGGTGGGACCTGGGGCTCCACAGAGGCCTGTGCTGTCCAGTAGCTCACAAGAGCAGTGGGAAGCCACAGCCCCAGAGAGGCTGGTGCTATCCAGGTGCCTGCCTGCAGGAACTACAGGGTGCAGGGGCACCAGAGAGACCTGTGCGACCCAGCAGGGACTGCGCAATCTAGTTACCCACAGGGCCTGTGGGGTACTGAAGCACCAGAGAGGCCTGTGCAACCCAGCAGGGACTGTGCCATCCAGTTACCCGTGGGACCTGCAGGGAACTGAAGCACCAGAGAGGCCTGTGCAACACAGCAGCCCATAACATAGGCATAGATGCGGGTCCCCAAAGGGACTGTGCAATCCAGTAACCCACGGGACCTGCAGGGTGCGGGGGCACCAGAAAGGCCTGTGCAACCCAGCTGCGCACAAGATAGGCGTAGAGGATGTGAAAATGAAGGCAAAGTGAATAGCAGCTACACATATGATCTCCCAGGACCAAATGGGAATTACAACTAAAATAAAGACAAATCCTCAGAAAAAAGGAACACAAAAGCACCAGGACAGGACCATATAACCAGGGACACTGGTAGGATCTGCGGAGACACCAGAGGGTGTCGGGCTAGGAGCACATGGACAGCAGCAGTCTTAGCTGTGAGCAGTGCCCTTGGGGAATAAAGACCAAGCCCACTCCAGAGCACAGAGAGCCAGAACAGAGCACTAAAATAGCCACAGCCACTCACCTGGGGGCTACGGCAGAGGGAGGGCAGACTGGGCTGGAACTCTGTGGGGAGACCTGGGATTTTGAGGGCACTCACAGTTTTTGCTGAGTTGCAAAGGATGGTGGCCAGTGTGCTCCTTCCCCAAACTATGGGGAAAAGCAGCAGCCCCCCCACTCAGAGAATCAGCCTTTCCCAGGTGAGGCAAAGAAATGAAAATTCAGCCTCATTAACAACCAGCATCTATCCCTCCCTCTGGAAATCCTCTTATGCAGAACACCAGAGCTACATTCCAAGGCACTGAGTAACTGAGACTACTAGCCACCAGGAAAATGCTAGAGGATAACTGAACCATTCCTATGCTGAAAATCTACCCAGGAAAGTAAGACTTGACAGTGGTGTTTAACGTGAGTCCACCCAGGCTCATCCAAACCCAGTAGAGGGAGCCACCAACACCCACAGGGAAAATTTGGCAGGCTCCAAAACCCACTGAGAGCCAAAATGGTGAAACAAAGAAACAAATACCAAATGAAAGAACAAGAGAACTCTATCGAAGATGAGATCAATAAAATGCAGCTAAGCAAATTATCAGAGGTAGAATTCAGAGCCATGATCATGACAAAGCTCAACAGCATGAGAAATTACATCAGCACCATGAATAAAGATATGGAAACACTGAAAACCACCAAGTGGAAATGAAGAATGACATAGCAGAAATTAAGAACACATGCCCTGGCAGGTTTGGATCAGCGGTTAGAGCGTCAGCCTCTGGTCCAGAGGGACTCGGGTTTGGTTCCCACTAAGGGCACGTACCTCAGTTGCAGTTTGTCCCCGGCCCTGGCTGGGTTGTGCGGGTGGCAACCACTCGATGTGTCCCTTTTACATCGATGATTCTCTCTCTCTCTCCCTCCCACTCTATCTGAAAAAAAAAAATGGAAAAATGTCCTTGGGTGACATTAAAAAAAAAAAAAAACACACATTGGAAGGACTAACCAGCAGAGGAGAGGAAGCTGAGGACCGGATCAGTGAATTAGAAGACAGGGTAGTACAAGTCAACCAATCAGAAAACCAAAAGGAAAAACAATTAAAAAACAAGAAGACAGCTTAAGAGAACTGTGGGACAACCGGAAATGTAATAACATTCGCATCATAAGAGTCCCCAAAGAGGAAGAAAATGGGCAAGAGTTAGAGAATATATTTCAAGAAATAGTGACAGAAAAATGTCCTAACTTGGTGAAGGAAGAAGGCATTCAAGTTCAAGAAGCTCAGAGAGCCCCAAGTAAGAAGAACCCAAACAGGCCCACACCAAGACACATAGTAATTAAAATGCCAAAAATTAAAGACAGAGAATCCTAAAGGCAGCAAGAGATAAGCAATAGGTTACCTACAAAGGAACCCCCATAAGGCTCTCAGCTGACTTCTCAACAGAAACACTAAAGGCCAGAAGAGAGTAGCATGAAGTAATCAAGGTCATGAAAAACAAGGATCTGAATCCAAGACTACTCTACCCAGCAAGGCTATCATTCAAAATAAAAGGTCAAATAAAGAGCTTTCCAGAGAAAAAAAAAGGCTAAGGGAATACATTAACTCCAAACCAGCACTGCAAGATATGCTGAAAGAACTGCTGTAATTAGTAGAAGAAATAGGAAGCAAAATAGAACCACACTAAACAAAAATGGCAATAAATAAGTACATATCTATTATCACCTTAAATGTGAATGGTATGAATGCTCCGATAAAAAGACACAGAGTAGCTGACTGGATAAGAAAGCATGACTCACATATATGTTGTTTACAAGAAACCCACCTCACAACAAAAGACTCACATAGGTTGAAAGTGAAGGGATGGAAAAAAATCTTTCAAACAAATGGAAAGCAAAAAGAAGCTAGGATAGCAATGCTCATATCTGACAAAGTAGATTTCAAAATGAAGGCCATTAATAGAGATAGAGAAGGCCACCACATAATACTGAAAGGATCTATCCAACAGAAAGATATAATCTTGGTAAACATATATGCACCCAATATAGGAGCACCAACATATATTAAAAATCTTTTGGAGGACATCAAAGGAGAAATCGACACTAATACAATCATAGCACAGGACTTCAATACCCTGCTCACATCACTGGATAGATCTTCTCGACAAAAAAAAACAACGAAACACAGACTCTAAATGAAGCACAAGATAAAATGGATTTAATAGATATCTATAGAGAATTATACCCTAAAACTGCGGAATTCACATTCTCCTCAAGTGCACATGAGACATTCTCAAAGATAGACCACATGTTAGAGCACAAACTAAGTCTCAAAAGTTCAAGAAGATTGAAATCATATCAAGCATCTTCTCAGATCACAATGGCATGCAACTAGAAATCAATTGCAACAAGAACATGCAAAGACATTTGAAAACATGGAGGCTAAATAGCATGTTATTGAACAATGAATGGGTTACCATGGAGATCAAGGAAGAAATTAAAAACTTTCTGGAAACCAATGAAAATGAACACACAACAACACAAAATCTATGGGATGCAGTGAAAGCAGTTCTGAGAGGGAAGTTCATAGCACTACAGGCCTACCTCAAAAAGCAAGAAAAATTCCTAATAGACTATCTAACCTCACAACTTAAAGAACTAGAAAGCAAACAAAAAGAAAACCCCAGAGAGAGTAGAAGGAAGGAAATAGTAAAGATCAGAGCAAAAATAAATGACATGAAGACCAAAAAAACAATTCAAAGGATCAATGAAAAAAAGAGCTGGTTTTTTAAAAAGATAAACAAGATTGATGGACCCTTAGCTAGACTCACCAAGAAACAGAGAGAGAACCCAAATACATTAATCAGTAATGAAAGAGGAGAAATAATAACTGACACCACAGAAATACAAAGGATCTTTAACAAATATGAACAATTATACAGCAACAAATTCGACAATCTAAGTGAAATGGACCAATTTCTAGAAACACCTAGTCCCCCAAAACTGGACCAGGAAGAGATAGAAACTTGAACACACCAATAACAACAAAAGAAAATGAATATGTAATCAAGACTCTCCCAGCAAACAAAAGCCCGGGCCCAGACAGCTTCACAGGGGAATTTTACTGAACATTCAAAGAACTAATTAATACCCATTCTCCTCAAACTATTTCAAAAAATTAAAGAAGAAGGAAGACTTCCAAACTCGTTTTATGAGGCCAGCATAATTCTAATTCCAAAACAGGAAAAGACACTACAAAGAAAGAAAACTACAGGCCAATGTCCCTGATGAATATAGATGCCAAAATCCTGAACAAAATACTAGCAAATCAAATCCAGCAATACATCAAGAAAATTATTCACCATGACCAAGTGGGATTCATCCCAGGGATGCAAGGCTGGTACAATAT